GGGGGGGGGGGGGGGGGACACCGAGGGAGTCGCAGGCACGCCGCCGCAGTGGGCGCTCAGCCCAGGCGTCTGTTCTCACTCCCTCCCTGCCCTTCTCTGCATTGCCTCTCCCCAGCACTGCGGCAACCACGGGGCGATGAGCACCAACGCGGCGGTCAACGGGTTCCTGGGTGTGTGCAACGACCTCGTGGGCGGCTCCTCCCTCATGTGGCGCTACCACCACCAGGTGCGCCCGCGGCCGGCGGCCCTGCCCACCTTCCGTGCGCGGTCGCAGCGAGTCGCGGCGCCGCGCCTGTGCTCGCCGCGGCTGGGGCTGTGGGAAGGTGCGCGGCCCTGATCAGCAGCCGGGCGTACGCACGCACCGCTGGCGCCCCTCCAGCTCTCACCGCGCCCCATCCGCGCGCAAACGCGCACACCTGCGCCTCCCCCCAAGGTGTCCCACCACATCCACTGCAACGACGACGCGCTCGACGAGGACGTGTTCAGCGCCTTCCCCATCCTGCGCTTCGACGCGCGGCTGCCCAGGGCCTGGTACCACCGCTTCCAGCACATCTACATGTGGGCGACGTTCCCGCTGCTCACGCTGGTGTTCCAGGTGTGTGTAGGGGGGGGGGGAGAGGAGGGGGCGGCGGGGCTTCTGGGCTGTGATGCGCAGAGTCATGTTGCGGAGTGAGGCCAGCGCAGCTTGTGGGAGCGCCAGTCCAGCGGACTCGTTGGTTGCAGGCACTGGCCTGCCTCAATGGCGCTTCATCAAGAATGTTCACCCTAACAACATTAACGCATGCATGTGGGCATGCGCGTACACATGCACACACACACACACACACACACACACACACACACACACGCGCGCGCGCACACACGCACACACGCACACACACGATCAAAACCCAGATCGGCGACATCCAGGCACTGTTTGAGAACAAGACCCAGGGCGCCACCCTCTACGGCGCCACCAACTTTGAGCGCGCCACCGTCGTCATGGGCAAGCTCATCCACTACACCCTGCTGCTCGGCCTCCCCTGGCTCCTGCACGGCCCCGCCGCAACGCTCGCCGCCGCGGCCGCGTACTCCGTCACCCAGGTGCGCGCGCTGCGGCGTACGGCGCGCCCCCCCCGCGGCGGCGCTTGGCGCCCAAGGGGCCCTCGCGCCGCGCCACGGGGCCCGCCTCCGACCGCCCCGACCCGCGCCGCAGCAGCACCGCTTGTCCCGCCCTTTGCACCGGGCCCTGCCATTGCAGTCGTCCCGCTCTGCTGTGCCCTGCTCATGCGCCTCCCAACGCGACGCCCCTCTCCTTTTCCTCTGCAGTCCATCGTCCTGGCGTCCACGTTTGCAGTGTCCCACAACGTCCCCGAGGCCAAGCCCCTGGACGGCGGCGTCCCCAAGGCCACCCTCTACGACACCGAGCTCGCCAGCCGCGACTGGGGCGTGCAGCAGATCGTGACCAGCGCCAACTGGGGCGGCCTCGTGGGCAACTTCTTCACGGGCGGCCTCAACCTGCAGGCGAGGGCACGTTGTGGCGCGCGCAAGCGCAGAGGGCGGGCGCTCTGCGGCGCGTCTGCGTACATGCCCGGCTGCCACTGCCTACATGAGCTGCAGCCGCTTGTCGCTCTGTGGCAGGCATGCATGCGCGCATGTCACGCAGTCCTCGGCCTAGCAGAGCATTGGCTTGACACACGCAACCTAATCAGCCATAAACCATTCCTTCAGACTCTCGAGTGATGCCCGCCCGACCTGTTGCCCGACCCCTGCCTCCGCCCCACAGGTCGAGCACCACCTCTTCCCGGCCATCTCGTTCATGCACTACCCCGCTATCTCCAAGATCGTGGCCGAGGAGTCCGCCAAGCGCGGCATCCCCTACGCCTACTACCCCACCCTGCCGGAGATCCTCGGCCGCTTCGTGAGGTACATGAAGGAGGTGGGCGCCGCCGAGCAGCTGCCCGCCAGCGGCGCTGCGTCCGCGCAGCTCGCAAGGCTGTGAGCGGTCGGCCGGGCGGCGCCGCTGGGCTGTGAGCGGCACGGCCGCATGCGAGGGAACCAGCCGCCTCCGCGGCCGTCGCCGCGGGGCGGGTTTCGTGTCCAGGATCAGTGCCGGCTTCAGCCATAGCGTCATCAACTGCACAGCGGAGGCCGTCGCAAGGGCGTCTGTAGGCAGCTGCGGCGCCCGGCGCCGCCCGGCGCAGGGCCAACAGGAGCGTGGTTGAGAGTCGCGGGGAGTCGTGTGGAATGCTGTGCGCCACGCCTGGCTTGATTCGACTGACAAGGAGCGACCCTGGAGTGCAGAGGGCTTCCTGCCGTTATGCTTGCGGCCCCGACATCAATTGTCAGCACTGCGCACGCCCGCTGGCCCTCCGGCCGCGCGCGTGCGGCGCGTCAGCGCCAGAACCTGCCCAGCGGCGCAAGATTGCGCGCCCCCGTCGCAGCGGCAGCGCAGCAGGACAGGGAGCGAGCCTTGTGTCGTCGAGCGCATTACCCGCAGTGATCTGAAGAGGCCAGGCCCCCAGCCATTGCCTTTGGCCTGCCCCTGTGCACATGGCAGCGGCGGCCAAATGCGCCTTTACACACTGATTAGGCACAGCGCCGCCCGGGCGCACATGCGTCTTCGGTTTGTGTGTGGATGTGAGTGTATGTGTAGGTACGTCCGCTGTGTGCTCCAGTCACTGTCAGTCTTCCGCCGTGCAGCTAGTAGGGAACTGGCCTCCCGCGCACGCACTCCAGTGTGTGCCCAGGGCTGGCGCTTTCACTGACATGTCTCGCCGCAACCTCGAGGCCGGGCTCCAGGCTCACGCGAGCCGCCGAGCTGCCGCCGTGCCTGCGGCCGCTGTGTTTGCGTGTGTGCAGACGGCCCGCGGGCCCGGCTGGCAGCGCCGCGCGGCACGTGATTATGCATTGCCCTCAACACTTTTTCAACGGATTGGCATGCTCTGTCAGGCCCTTCATGCTGCATGGCATGCGATGGGCCCCAGCGATCCAAGGAATTTGGCGCGCCCGCTTAGCTGGCGGTGGTGTGAAACAGCATTCGCCCATTGCTATCGGTGCTTCGCTACCGAGGGGGTGGCGGCTACCCCTGCCAAACCACAGCTGGACAGCGGTGTTGTGAGGTGCGGTCGGCCAGTCCGCCCACGAGCAAGTGTGTGAAACACGTGAGAAACCTCAGGCACCACAGCGGCCTGCGCTGGCCGAGAGGAAGCTGCAGGCAGACTCCATGACATGGCCAGGTGCCTCGTGGCGCTGAGTGCCGCAAGGAGTGCTCTGACACTGGCAGTGCCTGGGGGAGAGCGGGGCTCACGGGCATACTGACTGCCTCACCCTCACGGGCGGCGAGGTGCGGCGCCAGGTTGGCATACAAAACACCAACAGTCGGGTTCTGGAGCCAGGAAACTGTGCCGCCTGTGCCTGAGAGCTGCGGGCGTTGGTGCCATTTAGCTGTTAGTTATACACGTCTGGAAACGGGGAGTCCTGAGCGCAAGCCTGGCAGTGGCCCCACGGCCTGCATGTGCCACCTGGGTGGGAGCGCGGGGCCAGTGACAATTTTGAAGTGGCTCGACACACGGCCGTGTATGCTGGCATCAGTGCGCGGAGAGCCCAATGCTCCTGCAGCTCGCTTGTCTTGAGCAAGCCTGAAGATCGACACAAGAAGTTGGCTATATGCGCATGCGCATGCACGGGCAAGTCACTTGAAGTGTGTGGGTGTGGGCAGTCGAGGGGGCTTCCTGTCCAGCACAGCAGTTGCAGCCCGACTTGTGAAATGCTTGCATTTAGCCTTGGCACATTCGCCGTAGTTAGAGCTCTACACCAGGTCAGGAGCGTATCAATTTGCGTCGAAGCGATCAATGCCGTAGGGGGCATGCAGGTCAGCAGTGCAGCGTGATAGTGCTCTCCGCTTTGGAGAAGCCACGATGTGCGCAACGACGAGAGGGGAGCGACCAGCAGCAGGGAGGTCCCACAGCACGAGCGACCTCGCCGGGCTCTGTGCAGGTGGTGAGTGGTCTTATTCACCATTTTATACATGCGACGTTGTGCTTCCGCGATGCTTACCACCGATGCGGTGGGCTGCCCTTGCCCAGAGGGCAGCAGGGCACTGGGACCCACCTGTGCGTATCTCGCGCGCAGACATGCTGCACCGCGAACAGCAGCCTTTGCAGCAGGGGATGCGGCGGACCAGGTGCGCGGATGCTGCGGCGCTCAAAATCGGGATTCTTTCGAACGCTGGACAGCACTGCAGCAAGGACTGGCTGGTTTCTCATAGCTTAGTTTGCACGGGATTGGCCTGGCTGTGTCGCTGACGGGGGCATGCTCGCAGTTCGCGCGATGCGTTCACGGGCGTTGGCTGGGGCACGGCCACGCGCTGCGGGGACGCACAGCTCAGCAGTGCAACATCATACATGCGCACCCTGCCGGGCTTCGTCACTCACACATTCTCGCCGCGGGCATGCCCCCTGTGCAGCGAGACGACGCCCAGAGAATTTTCACAGCCGATTAAGCGGTCACGCAGCGAGCAGAGCCTGGCTGGCGCCGCTTCTGAGGTTGCGGCGCCGCAGCACCCACTCCTCTGCCTGGACCAGGGGGAGCAGAAGCTGCTGCAGCAGCAGCCGCTCTGCAATGCCAGCCCGGCCGCCCCCGCCCGCGACGAGCCGCTTGATGCGATTGGCGGCCAGCCCCTGGGCTACCGCGGCTCGTGGCTTTCGTCGCTGCCGGCGGTCCTTAGCGAAATGGGCAGCAGCACCAACAGCCTGCTGAGCCTGGATTCAGACCTGACACGCTCGTCAGGGCCTGCGCTGCAGCTGCTTGCCGCCGCCGCCCCAGGGGCTGCGTCCCCGCCCGGGACCGATCAGCAGCCGATTGGTCAGCAGCAGCAGCAGCCGCAGCAGCCACAGGCGGGCGTGTGCTATGTCCAGATGTCGGGCTCGGCGGCCAGCCTGCAGCCGTGCAACAGCAGCGGCGGCGCCTTCTACGGCGCCGCGGCTGCTGCGTGGCCGGCGGGCGTCGGCGGCAGCCTGCTTTACCGCACCCAGTCAGATCTCAGCGAGGCGGCCAGCAGCTCCAGCGCCCTGCTGCGCAACTTCCAGCCGCAGCCGCCGCCGTGCTACAGCCCGCCGCCGCTTATTCCGTCGGGCCCCGTGCGCGCGTCGTCCTTCATTCTGGGGCCCGGCATGCCTTCGCCCTCGCTGCCGCGGGTGCGGACGTCGGTGGCGGCGCCCGAGGCGGCGGCGCCTGCTGGGCTTTCCGGCGGCGTCAGCAGCAGCGCGCCGGTGCCTGAACAGCAGCAGCAGCAGCAGCAGCAGCCTCGGGCCGGCAGCAGTGCGGGGCTGTGCGTGCGCGCGCCGGTGCTGGCGGCAGCCGCTGCGGCGTTCGGGGAGGCGGCCGCTGCAGGCTGGGCGCAGGTCCGGGGCGGCGCTGGCGGCGGGGCGCGCGCGAGCGGGCGCAGTGGCTTCGGCTTGCTCCGCACCCAGGCACCCGTGACGCCGGCGCTCCACTCGGTCTCGTCGGCGCCGGCTCTGCAGCGCCACGCGCCGGCCGCCGCTCGCGCCTCAGCGGTGGGGGCAGGGGCGGGGGCTTCGGCGGCGCCGCCGGCGCCGGCGGCCTCCCCGCTCGCAGACGCAGGGGACAGCTGGGACTTTGCGCGGCGCTCGCGGCAGCTGCGAATGGCCCGCAACCAGAGCTCCGGCTCGCTCGGCGGCCGCCGCCGCAGCTCGATCGAAGCATCGATGCCGTGGCGCGCGCGGCTGGACGGCGCCATCGCCGCCGCGCAGGCGGCCGGCCCTGAGCCTGAGGCGGAGCTCGAGCACCGGGAAGCTGGACCACAGCTGCTCGGCGGGCAGTTGCTGGCGACGGCAGGGCTGGGGGTGGAACCCGTCCCTGAGGAGCACCAGCCGCAGGAGCAGCAGCTGCAGCTTGAGCAGCGGCAGGAGGAAGAGGAGGACGACGAGGACGCGGACTTGCAGTGGCAACAGTGGCGGTCCCGCGTGGCCCACGTGCCCCACCCTGTTCTCGGCCCGCCCGGCCCTAGCTCGGCGGCCGACTCTGCCGCGTCGGCCCACCGGCGCAGCAGCACCGAGAGCGAGAGCGACGCGGGCGCCGACGCTGCGGGCGGCGCGGCGGGGCCCGGCGCAGCCCGCGGCGACGGCGGCGGCGCCTGCGCGCCGCGCGGGCG